CCTAGGTGCTTAGGACTGTGCCTGGCACACAGTAGGGGCTTAACAGATCAATCAGCAAGCAGTCATTAAGCCCTTACTATGTGCCAGGCCCTGGGCTAGACACTGGAGATACACAGAAAAAGCAAAAACAGGCTGTGCCCTCGGAAAACTGATTGATTGATTGATTTAAAGTAAGCCTCTAGCAGAAAGGTTGGAGATTAGACAGAAGGAGGAACTTCTTGGCCCTGGAATCTGGGAATCCAGCAATAAGAGAGGGAGGAACTTCCTTGAGGCCCATGAATCCTTCTTCCATCACCCCCAAGAAGTGTTTATCCATTCTTTACTCAGAGGCCTCCGCTGTGGGTGAATCCACCATCTTAAGCAGCTCATTCCATTTTGGGGCAGCCAGGATTCCTAGAATTTCCCTATCATCAAGCCTACATCTTCTTGTCTTCAGCTTCTACCCATTGACTCGTGGGATATCTGAAATGAAGGGAACTTTACAAGTCCTCTTGTCCTATTCCCTCATTTTACAGATGGGAAAACTGAGGTCCAGAGATGGGAAGTGGCTTAACTCAGACTGCTCAGTGCTAAGTAAAGTTCTGTTGAATGGAACTGATGGGCCACAAGATCATAGACTGAGAGCTGTGGGATCTGGAAGCTTGCTAATTCTGGCTCTCCTCATGTCACAAATGAGGAAACTGAAGCCCAGAGAGGTTTATACTTAGGGCCCATGGGGCTAGAAATGGCTGAAGCAGAATTCAGATCAGGTCTCTTAGGTCCCCTGGCTCTCAAAAAGATGGAAGGATGCCTGGGGGTGGGAAGAGAGACAGGGTAAATGTCCCCTGAGATGCTGGGAGAGATCCCACATCCACCATATTTAGCTGCTGGAGTCTCTCTGCCCCTTCAGTTGAAGGGCATCAGTCAAGAAACATCTTTGAAGCACTTATTCTTATGTCTCTAGCACTGTGCTAAGCACTGGGGGTCTTCTCTGCCCTCAATGAGTTTATCATCTAATGGATTCCTAGATATAGAGGTGGAAGGGCCTTCAGAGACCATCTAGTCCAACCCCCTCATTTTAAAGAGAGGGAAACTGAGCCCCAGAGGGCTGAAGTGACCTGCTGGAGGAAAGGGGCAGAATTGGAGCACAAGTTCCCTGAATCCAGGGCCTTTTTCTTGGGGTGCTTCTCCATGAAGCCCTCGACAATCCTCTCTTCTCTTGCCTCCTGCCACTGGCCAGAAGTCTCCCTTTTGGATTTCACCTATGCACTTAGCAGGTGCTAATTTGCATCTTGGTCTGATCATCTTTGCCATATGGTGAGCTGGATGAGGGCATGGGCCAGGATTTAGGCAGTTCAGTTCATCAAACACACATTATCAAGAGGCAGTAAGGGATGAGAGTGCCAGGCTGGGAGACTGGAATGGCTGGATTCACATTCCACTTCAGACAATTAGGAGCCCCCGGGCAAGTCACTTCACCGCTGTAGCCTCAGTTTCCTCATTTGTAGAAAAGGGGTAATATCTGTAGCACTTACCTCAGGACACTGTGGGGTCTCTACTTGTGTGGTCACAGGGAAGTCACTCTACTACCCTGGGTCTCAGTTTCCTCATCTGTGAAGTGAGAAGGCTGGGCCAGATGCTCTCCAAAGTCCTTTCTAACACTAAATCTACAATTACATAATGGGTTGTTTTGAGGAACAAAGGAATATGTAAGATACTTTGAAAATCTTAATTATATATAAATAAATACATATATATATAAATTATCATCGATCATTATTATTTATTATTGTTATTATTATCTAATCTGTAAAAGGCCTTGTGCTTAGCACTGGGGACAAAAAGATAAAAAACCAGCCTGACCTCTGTCCTCGGGATGCCTGTAGTTGGGGAAAGGGAGGTGGGGGTACGTGAATAAATGTGATACCAGATAGAATGTGATAGGGGTAAAGAGCTAGGGGAAAGTGTTATGAGAAATTTGAGGAAAGAGATATCTCTTTCACCTGGGGACCCTGACGGGCAAGGTTTCCTGGAAGCCAGGGCATCATCCATCTTGGTATCCCATTCCTTCCCTCTAGGTTGTCTGGCAAAGGACCTTGGACAGAGGCATAACCCAACAGTGCTTGGAAGTCCTTGCAGGTGCTGTCTGTTGATGTAGCTTCCTGAGAATTTACTTTGGGAGCTGGACCTAGCTCCGGGGATGGGGGGTGACAGCAGAGAAGTTCTTAGAGTGGATTGGATGGACTTCGGGTGGGTAGCTAGAGGCCCCAGATTAGCCCTGTGTGAGCTGGGCAAGTCACATAATTTCTCTGCATGAATGAAGGAGTTGGAATCAGTAACCCCTAGGGTCCCTTCCAGCTCTAAAGTGGTGATGATCTCATGACTTTTCAAGTGGAATGAAGAGTCTAGATGTTTGGGAACTGGGGTCCCCAGTGGGGCAGATCTCCAGTCTCCCTTTCTTATTACTTAATTAGAACGTTCCACCCAAGGAAATAAGTCCTTTGCAGATGCAGTCTTCCCAGAAATATGCTTGGGGAATTTCCTTGACTTCCTTATCTGTTTCTCAACCGGAAAAGCTGTGGGTGGATATGTGTGTGTCTGTGTTTGTGTGTGTGTGTAGTGGGGGGTGGGAATGGAGCATGGAGAGACTGTATGTGAGGGTGTGTATGGGGGTGATAGAGTTGGAAATATGGAGGTGTGTCCCAGCCAGAGGCTGTTTGTGTGTAGGTGTGGCTTGGGGTGGGTGGGCAATATAAAGGGAGGTGTAGATCCAGGAGTGGGTGGGGAAGTCTTTTACTCTGGATTCCATAGGCATTGTGCCTGTAGAAAGGCTGGGAGGTCTGGGAGTTGCGTGTCTGTGATTTTGCTCTCATTTCCACCCTCTGGAGGTGTTGTGTATGTGGGCAATGGGAAGAGCAATTGCATGTGTATGTGATGGAGTGGGAGGCGGAAATTCTAGGGCTGGGAGGGGGTCTCTTTTGCTTGTGCCTATCTGGAAGTAAGTCAAATGTAGAATTAGTCAATAAGCATTTGGTAAGCGCCTACTATGTGCCAGGCATAGTGCCAGGTGCTGGGGATACAAAGAAAGGCCAAAAAAAAAAGAAACAAACCAGCGTGTGACTCTCTGTGTAGGTGGGCTTGTGGGTGTTTCTGAGGACCTCCTAGGACCCGGGAGCACCATTCTTCCCAAGAGCTGTTCTCCACTCCACCCCCCAGATTATCCAGCCCCGTATGCTGCTAGAAATGTGGGGGAAGCTAGCAAGACAGAGCAAGAAGAAAGGATGGGAACAGAGACTGGGCTGTGTGGGGGATCCTCCTGTAGGACTGCCGGGGGTGAATGGAGGGTGAAGAAAGAGGACTCTGGAGCTCTAAGGACCTCAGGATTGAGTGAGGGTGAGAAGGCGTCTCTCTGTGTCTCTGTCGCTGTCGCTGTCCTGAGGGGTGCAGTAGGAGTGTGGAGTGACATCCCTCCTCCGAGGTTCATACTATTCAAAACTGAAGAGGCCTCACAGACCGCCCAGTGCCGATGTCGGCAAGTCCAGTCCCTTCATTTTACGGGCGAGGGAGAAGGCTTGCCTAAAGTCACGTGACTAGCAGCTGGGCCTGGATTCCAATCGAAATTCTGGCTCTAAACCTAGATTTCTTGCATTCCGCCTGACTCCCTCAGTCGGGGAAGGGGGCTCTGGCTTGGCACTCTGCCCCTTGCCCATTCAAAAGCTCCCCGATTTAAATCTGGAAGGGACCTCAGAGGCCATTAGTCAACTCCTTCATTTTACAGACGAGGAAACTGAGGCCCAGAGAGGTTAAAATGACTTGCCGAGGTCACACAGGTAGTGTCAGAGGCACGGTTTGAAGCCAGGTCCTCCGGCACTACAGCCAGCGCCGTCCAGCCACAAACGGCCCATCCACCTGGGGGACAGAGGTGTCAGTGGCCTCAAAGATCAGGGAATAGCCCCCCCAGCCCAGGCCAGATTTCTGGCTCCATCCTGCCACGGATCCACTCCTGGTTTCTCCAAGCACGGGGCTGGTTCCCGGGGACCGCGGTGGTGGCAAGCCCGGAGCTGACGCGCTCCGCGCTGCTACTGTGTGGAAAACCCGGCCTGGATTCGTGACCGTCCCACCCCGAGGAATCAAGGGGAACCCTGGAGCGAGGTGGCCGGCCGCTCCGACCCGGCCACCCAGCCGGCCGGTGGGGCCCCTACCTCGGGACCGTGCGGGAGGAGCAGCGAGGGACCCCCGGCCGGTGGGGGGACGGGGGAATGGGCTGGGGCGGGAGGCGCGGGGCGGGCTGCGGGCGTTGCCCTCGGGGTGCCCAGGTCCCCAGGTCCCCAGGCAGCGGGCGCGGGCTGCAGTGCCCCAGGCAGCCGGCAGCGGGCAGCGGGGAGCGAGGGCTCAGGAGCCGCGGCGGGGGCAGTGGGGGCCGGCGGCGGTGCTGGCCGCGGTGGTGGGACCGGGGCGCGCGCGCGCACTGCCAGCTCCCCCTCCCTGCCAGCCAGCCAGCCTGCCTGCCGTCCACACACACCGCGCGCGCACACACGCGCACACACACACGCTCACACCCGCGCGCGCACCCGCGCACACACACGCTCACACACACACACACACACACACACACACACGTATACACACACACACCCGCGCGCTCACTCCCCCAGCCCCACGCACGCACTGGCCCCGGGAGGCAGCGGCGGCGGCGTGCTCCGCGCTCCGCGCTCCGCGCTCCGCGCTCAGCTCCGGGTGGCCTCCGCCCACGGACGGTCCCGCCCGCCCCGAGGTCAGCCCAGCGCTCAGCGGGCGGCCCCCGCCCCGCCGGGCCCGGGCTCGCCCCCAGCCCATGCCCCGCAGCAGCGGCAGCGGCGGCGGCGGCGGCGGCGGCGGGGACAGCGGGGACAGCGGGGACAGCGGGGCCAGCAGAGGCAGCGGGCACAGCGAGGACAGCGGCGGCGGCGGCGGCGGCGCCCCATGAGCCGGCGGAGCGCCACGGGCGAGGCAGCGAGCCGGGGCCGGGGGCTGCACTGAACCCCGGAGGGCGGGGAGGGGGAGAGCGCCCAGGACGGGACCATGTACCGGGACCCGGAGACAGCCGGCGGCCCAGGTAAGCCCGGGAAGGGAAAGACGGGTGGAGACCAGGGCTGTGCCCCGCAGTAGCGGGGAGGCGGCGCGAGGGTGCCGGCGTTTGCGGAGGTTGGGGGGGGGTGCTTGCGGAGCTCCCTCTCCGCCTTTCTCGTGCGCCCCTCTCCTCCCTTTCCGTGCGCCCCTCTCTACCCTTTCCGCGCCCCCTTTCTGCCCTTCCCGCGCCCCACTGGTGCCCGCTTGGAGGGTTCAGATCTCAGCCCTCGCTCTCCATGCCCGCCTGCTCGGCCACCAAGTCCCGAGCCAGCGCCTCGCGGGCTCCAGCTCTTCGGGCTGCTGCGGGCTAGCCAGGGGCTGCGTGTCCTGCTGGGACTTGATTCCCTGAGGATTATTCTTTGGGAGGGAGACTGCCCCAGCCTTCAGAGGGACGTGGGAGCCGGAGGTGGACACCTGGCCAGAATAACCCTGACCCCGGTTTTCCCCCTCATTCCCCTCTTCACTCTTTTCCTACCTACCCCGCAAAGGTTTACTGGAAGTCTCGCTACCCCATGCCAGCCTCGCGGTCTCCCGAAAGGACCTCCCTGCCAGTGGTCCAAGGACAGCGTGTGTGGCAGTGTGGGGAGCAGCTGCCTTTTTGGAGACCAGAGGCTCCCTGGGAGGCCAGCTGCTCTCCTCAGTGGCACCCAACTCCTGGGTGGGAAACTGCCCGTAGCTGGCACCAGCAGCCAGCCACTGGGCTGGTGGTAGGGGACAGGAAGGGTGCCTGTGAGAGAGCAGAGGGAACTGGCTTCTGATCACACCTAGGGGGGCTGTGCTGTGAATTTTTGTGAGTATGTGGGGGAGGGGGACAGGTAATGGAAAAGGGGCTATACAGGGGGGTGATGTGGGGAGAGCTGCTAGGGACAGTGCCTGAGGAAGAAGGCGGCCCGGGAGGCTGGCGAGGGCACTGGGGTGAGCTGAGATGGTGCCAGGACTAATAACAATAACTGGTGCTTTATGTAGATTAGCTTTTGATCCTTATCAAAGAAATATCCTTCTGGCCTTTTGCCAGTCTGGGACTGAGAGCCTCACTACACTCTTGTTTCTGGTGTGTGTGTGTGTGTGTGGGTGTGTGGGTGTGTGGGTGTGTGTGTTATGTGTGTGGTGGGGAGGGATGTTCTCACTGCCTCTTCACTGCCCCAGAGGAACCTTATTATGCCCTACCTAGCTGGCATCCCAGCAGCAGAGAAATCTCATCTCTTTCTTGGCAGGGCTCTGCCATCCTGCTTCCCACCTGTGGCTACCCTCTTGGTGCTTCTACCCCCTCCCCAAAGGCTGAACCCTGCTCCTGTCCAATGGCAGGGCCGGGTGAGGGCAAGGCCACTTCTCTTGATGTTCCTCCAGCCCTCAGGCACTAGCAGAACCCAGCTCTAGGCACCTTCCTTGAGAAGTGGGTTCTTTATTTCCTTGCAGACCTAGTGGGAGTGATCACCACAGAGGATAAGGTGGAGGGGAGCCAGAAGCTCGGACAGCCCCAGCCCTGGGTCTATAGCAATCTCAAGAGGTCCCTCTTAAGTAGAGGCTGAAGGATCTCAAAGCGTCTCTAAGGGCAGCTCAGTTGGGATTTAGTGGCAGGAGAGGGACAGTGCCTAGCTATATCGGTCATCTCTAGCCTCCTGGTGTCTGCCCTGCTCACAGCAGGAGAAACCTCATGCCATTTTTGTATCCCCATGTCCACATCCTAGAGCAGGATGGGAGGAAATAGCTGTGTAGCAAGGCCAGCCTTCCCTCAACCCGTCTGCTTTAGTCTTAGCAGAGGGGAGAGAATCCCTATTTGGATGTAAAGTCCCTCCCCTGCAAGATGTCAATTCACTGGGTTCTGAGACCACTTGTGGGTCTCAGGGAGAGAGAAAAATCCACTAGGAGAGCACTGACCTTCTTCTGCCCCAGGAGGAGCAGAGAGGTCCCTTTGCCCCTCCTCTACCTTAGTTTGATGATGTCACTTGTGGCCAGGCATTTTCTCCTCTCCTGGTATCTACCTGGTGTCTGTGCCCAGAGTGAGCCCAGACTGAGGTGCAGGAAGTATGCTGCAAAGCTCCCACCACCCCTAGTTCTCCCTGGTGGCTTCCCTGGTACCTCTTCTGTCCTCTCTATCCTGGCATCAAGGTATATATATATATATGTCAGTCCTGCCCAGAGCTCCCAGACTCTCTAGGCAGCTGTGGGAGTTGCTCAGAACTGAGTCACTCTGCCAGCTTGGTGGGCCAATCATCCCAGCAGAGAATGGGATGGGTGGAGGGGAGCATGTTTCCTCCCCTGCCCAGGGAATTGGGCTGACCCCATGATCAAGGTCCCTGACTGGCACATTGGAGCGGGATGGAGGCACTGCTTTCTGGGCTTCAGAAGCTCTGGGCTCTATAGATCACTCACTAGCTCTCACCCCCTTCCAGACCAGTCCTGGCTCTGGCGTAGGCTTCCTCCCCACTTGGCACGAATCACTGCCCCTTTGCAGAATGGCTGTGAGCTATCCTTCTGTCTCCCTCCTTGCCCTCCTAACACCCCTCACCTAAACGCCCCCTCCTATCTTGGCGCTCAGACCCCTAGTCTGCCTTCCATCACTGCTTATCTGTGCCCGTGCCCCCAGCAAGGGTATCAAGCATGAATGATACCTGCAAACTCATCCTCCATGTGACCTGGGCCCCATTCGTACCCAATCCTCTCTGGGGACCTGTAGCTGTACTCCTTCTCCCCAGCCCCGAAGCACTGTTAACTTCTCCATCTCAGCCTACCAGGTTCATTTTGGTTTATCTTTGGAATCATTCCCTTGTATGGCCCAGGACTACAGCCCGGGAGGGAGCCATTCACCCTCTGGCCAGGGATACATGGGGATTGGGCTGAGCTCCTGCCCCATGGTGATCCCCCCTATTTTTCTCGAGGGTCCCACAGCTGGCAGGGCCTGGAAGTGTCAGGGAGCAAACCTCAGATGGGGATCAGACATAAGAACAGGAGAAAAAACAGTCCCTTCCTTCAACCCTGACCCACCACCGGCTGAGGAAGACTGGGCCTAGATAAGGGGCCCTGCCTCAGCCACGGGTCCTAAGGTGTGAAGCAAAGAACTCTGGGGGAATGGCACAGTGGTTACCTTCACCAACCCGGCCTGGCATCCTAGACCATACCCGATACCCTCCCCATTTCTTATGATCTCTCTTTCCTGGCCTAGAGCCATCTCCCCCCTTCCCACACGCTTCCCCTTGTCCCCTGCATTCTTCACTCACATTCCCCCTCTGCTCTCCTCTCCCAAGCTTTCTCTCCTCTGCCCTCCTTCCTCCTAGCTCAGACTCCCTCTAGCCCTCCCTCCCGGAGGCTGGGCAGGGCCTCAGCTGGCCTGTAGAGGCCAGTGTTGCAGTGGGCAGGCTCAGGCAGCGCTAAGGCAGCCAGGAGAGAGGGAGAGGTGACCTTGTGGTGAGTGAATGAGCTGGGGACAGGGAGAGGAAGCCAGCCCGCCAGCCAGGGGAGTTGGGAGACCTTTGCCTGCCCTCCTGGCTCTGTAGCCTGGGCATGGGAGCTCTCAGGTTGCCTGGGATCTGGAGGCATTGACTCAGAGAATGTCAGAGCTGAGAAGCACCTTACACCACAGACCATCACAGCTGGGCGGGACCTTAGAACCTAGAATGTCAGAGCTGGACGGGACCTTAGAACACAGACTGGCAGAGCTGGACAGGACGTTAGAACCTAGAATGTCAGAACTGGATGGGACCTTAGAACACAGACCAGCAGAGCTGGACAGGACCTTAGAACCTAGAATGTCACAGCTGGACAGGACCTTAGAACACAGACCGGCAGAGCTGGACAGGACCTTAGAACCTAGAATGTCAGAGTTGGACAGGACCTTAGAGCACAGACCAGCATAGCTGGACAGGACCTTAGAACCTAGAATGTCAGAACTGGACAGGACCTTAGAACACAGACCAGCAGAGGTGGACAGGACCTTAGAACCTAGAATGTCAGAGCTGGGAGGAACCTTAGAACATGAAACATAGAAAACTGGGAGGATCCTTAGCACATAGAATGAAGCTGGAAGAGGATATAGAATGTCTCAGGGGCAGAAATCACAGAATATAGATCAGAGAAAGTCAGGGCACCGAAGGACCTTAGATCACCATGGTCAGCCCCCTTGTTTTGCAGTTAAGGAAACTGAGGCATAGAGCTGTTCACCTCCCTGTTCACTCCTCTTTAAGATGGGCACCTGGACCACTGGCTCAGGGACGCTGGAGGAAGAGGAGGAGGAGGAGGAGGAGTGCAGAGGACCTGCACATATTAGTATTAGGAGGGGGCCTGGTCAGGTGCTCAGAATGTGTAGGAGAGGACTCTGCCTGAGGGGTGGAGCAGTAAAGGCTAGCTAGAGTCAAGTGGTGTGGACAGAGGGAGGCGGGCAGAGTAGGGTTGGCATCCCTGGGAATCCTGAGTGATAGGAGCCAAGCGGAGGCTGAGGACGAGACCCTTCCTGAGCCCCTCACCCATGCCCCTCTTACCCGTTCTCTTCAGGATCTTGGCCCAGAGTCTCCCTGCTGGCCATACGTGCCCTCTGCACATCTGGCTCGGCTTAGGGCCAAGCTGGTCTCCTAAGGCTGGGTAGCCCCCAGAATGGGACGGAAGGAAGCTGGAGGCTCTGGGGCTGAGACTTGGGGTTTGACTAGGCCCCTCAGCCTGGAACTAGTTCTAGAGCGGTCACCGTGGAAACAGCCCCACTCTAGCTCCCTGCGTGTGAGGCCCTGTGGAGGCAGCCCTGGCTGGCTGAGCTGGTGTTCAAGGACACTGGGAGGGGGATGAGAGGACCTGGTCATAAGGAGCCCTCCCTGCCTTAGAGCTGGAGGTAGGGGCATCCTGATCCTATCCCTATCAGACCTCTCCCCAATCTGGGCATCAGGGCAGGCTGGGTTAGAGCAAGGGAGGTGGGGGGCACAGCTAAGTCAGGAAGAGAAGGGTGGAGGCAGCTGGAAACCAGATGTAGTAACAGGTGAAAATGAAGGCCTGGAAGGGAAC